GTTAGTTTTGAGAAAACAAATTGGTTCTTTGAATTTTTTGTAAAGGATAGGAGGAGGAGGAGAGGAGAGATGTCGTTGATAGGATTATAGGGAACCATTTTTGTTGTTGATGTTATTATTGGTGGCATGGTGAATATAAATTGAGTTATTCTCTCATTTATTTTTTATTGAATGAAAGTTATGTTTCTTTTGGAATATAAGGTAATTTGGATCTTGAGTTTGATAAGTATGTCATAGTTTTATATTCCTTGTATCTTTGTCACTCTACTTGAAAAGGATATGGAGAATAATGTGTTTTTCTCAAACGGTTTAGTGAATTGAACTAGGCTCTAGTGGTGTTGGTGGAATGGTCGAAAGTTGAATTGTTTTGTGGGTTTAGATACTAAATAAGAAGCGGCAAATATGTTAAATTGAGCCTCGTTAAATTTGAAGAGATTGTTGGGGATGAGTGTTTAGATAGARATGTCAAATTTGGATAATACTGCATTGGAACAGACTGTTCAAAATGAGTGTTTGAATGATAATGCCAAGAAAGATATTGAAGTTAAAGAAATGCTCTCGAGGATAGTGATTTGGCCAATCAAAGCATAAACCTAGAAAAGAGAGGGTCGATATAAGAAATTGTTTTGCTTAATTGAATTGGATCTATTTTATTCAGAGATGCGTTGTATGAACGTGTATCTCTCACTTATAAAATAAGATTAATCTAGAGATGATTTTTTTTTTTTACCAAATATACATTGCATGAGTAGACCTTCCCTGCGTGGACTAAATTGGTCACACGTGAGTCCTCCCCTTCAACTTCTTTCTTCTCTTCCCCTCCTTGCGTAGTGTTTTTTCTCCTCTCTCTTCCTTCTCCAATTCCAATGGCATCTTTAGTTATTATTGTTATTATTGTTATTTATTTGTATGTTTTAGACATTGTTAAATTAGAAGAGATCGTTGAAGATATGTGTTTAGATAGATATGTAAAATTTTAGACAACATTGAACTGGAAACAAACAATTAAGAATGAGTGTCTGGATAATAATGTTGAGAAAGATGTTTAAGTTAAGGATATGCTTCTAAGGATAGTGATTTGACCAATATAACTAAAAATCTAGAAAGGAGAAATTTGATATAGGAAATTGTTGTGCTTAATTGGATCAGATCTGTCTTATTTAAAGACGCGTTCTTTGAATGTGTATATCTAACTTAAAAGATAAGATTAATGCAGCATTAAAATATAGAACTTTCTACCAGATATGTATTCCAATTTTCAAAATGAATCCATTGCATGAGGAGATGCGTCACTCGTTCGCATATGATTCCTTCCCTYCCACTTCTCCTTTCTTTCTCTTCCTCCTTCCTATGCAGTGTTTTTCCTCTGTCTTTCTCCTCCTTCCAATAGCATCCTTGGCTATTCTTCCTACATTAATTAGGGCTTATTTTGTATGGTGGATCTTCCTTCTTCATTATTATTATCATTATTTTGAAATTTTGTTTATTTATTTTGAGCGTTGTTAAATTGGAAGAGACTATTGATGAGTGGAGACAGAGATGTCAAATTTGAACAATGTTGAACTGGAAACAGGCGATTCATGATGAGTGTCTAAATAATAATGTCGAGAAGGATGTTGAAGTTAAGGAGATGCTCTTGAGCCTCTAGGATAGCATTTTGGCCAATAGAATCAATAATTTAGAAAAGATAAATTTGATATAGGGAACTGATTTGCTTAATTGAGTCAGATTTGTCTCATTCTTAGACGCGTTTTCTAGACGTGTATCTTTAATTTAAAATAAAGGATCAATGCAGATGTAAGACATGGATTTTTTACCAAATATGCATTTCAATTTCCAAAATAAACGCGTCGCAGTGTAATACATTGATTTTTCTTACCAAATATGCATTTCGATTTCCAAATTAAACCCGTCGCGTGAAAATACCGCTTCCCTTTAGTTGACTAAATTGGCCACGCATGATTCTTCCCCTTCCGTTTTATCTTTTCTTTCTCTTCCTCTCCCTCTTCCTTTTTTATCTTTTTTTCTTTTCTAGTACAAGTAAGGTGGAGATTCAAACCCATAATTTGATCAAAGAGGAGTACCAATTATTAAACTTAAGTTGGCTTAGTGTTTTTTTTTTCTCTCCCCCATATTATTTCGGTAGATCTTCATTCTGCATTGTTATTATTATCATGTACTTTGTGATGTTCACCCATATTCGAATAAAAGATCAAAGTTTATATCTAAATGATATAATTCTATCCTAATTTGATTCTTTCAATTTAAACTACTTTTGATTTCAAAATTAGCACAAAATTATCAAACTGTTTACGCCTATGTCTTGTAATTCGATTCCCCTTTCTCCCATTATTTCAATATATTTGGATTAAATGCTAAGTTTAAGTTGTATTATAAAATAATACAATCAAATGTTTGTGTTACAAAAAGATAATTTTATAAAGTGTAAATCTTGCCTCGATTTGGTTTTAGATTCATAAGCTACCTCTCTGTCGTTATAATATAATTGATTAGTGTTATTGTACTAGTTCGTCCAACGACACTAAATAAAAGAAGGGTATTTGACCAATAGAAGCAAGGGTCTAGAAGGAGCATATTAATACACATCTAATATTTTACTAAATTGATTCAAATTTATTATATTCAGACACATGTCATCCATCTGAACGTACATATCTAATAGAAAATACAACCCTACAATTTTTAATGCAACTTTTAAAGGTTGGATTTTCGCAAAAGACACATTTCAATTTCCAAAACAAACGTATTTACTGAGAAGCTATTTCACTTTACTTAATTGAACCACACATGATTTCTCAGCTTCCACGTTCTCCTTTCTCCTCCCTCTTTTTTTCAATGATATCTTTTTTTTATAATAGCATCGATCTCTAATGGTTCTTCCTACCCCATAAACTTATTTTTGGCAATTTTCTACCGCAGATATTATTATTATTATTATTTTAATTTACTTAACTTTGTGTTGGATGTTCACTCCTATTTAGGTAAGATCAAAGTTTATCATCTAAAGAATATAATTCCATACAATTCAATTGTTTCGTTTAAGCTGCTTCATATAAAAAATTATGAATGTTTTGTATTCCCGTTTGTCCTAGTATGTCAACCTCTTTCCATTAACGCTATGATTAATTATAATTTTTGTCCTCCAACTAAATAAAATTGATTTTGTTTTGGTCCTTTTTCTATCTTAATTTGGTCATAAATAAACACGATTTTGTCTTCACTTCATGATTCAAGATTTTAATGAGGTCATTTTTTTAAATAAAGTTTAATGTACAACAAAATGTTTATGTGACAAAAAATATTTTTAAGAAATGAATGTGTAAAGATGTAAAATCTGAATGCTGGTAATTGTTAAATGGGAATAAATTGTTGTATATATACGAGTGTTTGGGGAAAGACGTAGATATTAACAAATTGGAAAAGCTTGTTCAATTCAAGGTGATCGAGTGTCTCCGTAAGCAAAAGTCGAGAAAGATGTTTGAGAAAAGAGTAACTAGCCTATAAAAGCTAGGATCTAAAAGGGAGAGATATTGATACATCGAATCGTTTATTCAGATACACGTTAACTGAATGTATATTTGTGACAGAAATACAATTCTACAGTTTTAATACAACTTTTAAAGGTTGAATTTTTGCCAAAGATACATTTGAATTTCCAAAGTAATCCCCTTTCTTGAAAATATGTTTTGCTTTTTCTATGATGTTGTTTCCTTTTCTTTTCTTTCTCTAACAGCATCTCGAGTGGCTTTCCTACCTCATCATCATTATTGTTATTTTACAATTATGGATTTTATTGGATCTTAATAGGCTTTTTTTTTCCTTTTTCCTTTTATTGGTTCTACCTTGGATGTAACCCTATTTTGATAATATCGAAGTTTATTATGTTTTCATTTAAACTTCTTTGTACGGGTGAAAGAAATCGAACCGACCCAAATCGAGCTGGTTCTCAAACTATGTCAAATTATTAGAAAATATAAGTACTACAAGTAGGTTAAAAGGATTTAAACTCACACTTTCGATCAGAGATCAGTGCCAATTACAATTAAACTAAATTCATGTGGTAAATATAAATTATTAATTTATCAATGATTATGCTCATCTCTTGTATTTTGATTCCTGTTTCGCCTATCAATCTATTTCCATTAATACTGCGTTTAAGTTGTATTATACTTGTGGTCCTCCAACTATGAAAAATTGATTTTTTTGGTCTTTTTTCTATTTCAATTTGGTCATAAATAAACACGATTTTGTCTTCCCTTGATAATTCAAGATTGTAATGCGGCCGTATTCCCAAAAAAATCAAAAATCAAAAA